AGGAACTGGTGTTAATAACCTCTATGTTTCACACCCTTCTTTTATCTCTGCTCCACTCTGTGGCCTGAATTCATGAGTACTTTTGTTCACACACCTGGCATCTTTGCTGGCCCCTGAAAACATGGTGTCCATCACTGGCTGGCCTGCCAAAGGAACCGGGCAAGCTACACTCTGGTTGATGGTTAGGAACACCAAGCAGTGGTGACAGCATTTGCCATAAGAGGAACAGAAGTGGCCTCTCTGGGTTTCTCGTCCTCATTCTTTGAGGTCTGCTGAGGGATGGCTGGAAGACCTGGAGCTCTTAGTTCCTGCTGGGAGTCTGTGTGTGGCCCCAAACACGCTGGACTGACTTCAGACGTCCCCTGGCAGGAGGGAAGGTTCTCATGAGACATCTCTGCTACTTGGTGTAACTTCTTATGAAGCTCATCCATTTTCTGTTTTAATAGTTGTTCTTCAAAAGCATTTGCTTCTTTCCTTTTCATATAATGTCTCTCTTCATTTACCCATTGTCCATGCTCTCTCCGTAGATTGTATTTCTGGGCTCTCAGCTCTTTGAAGGAAAACTGATTCTCCGCGAATAAGCTTCTCCTTGCAATATATGACAAACTGCTCAACATCAGCTTTGTCTGCCACAGATGGGTGTGCAGAATATCCTGATTTAGAAATCGTGATCACTCTTTGTTCCATGTTCGACCCTTTATCACCAGCTGCAGGTGTTGCTCCAGAAAGTTGTGGACTCTGATTCTTAGAAATGCAGGCTGAGTTATTTCCTGGATTTGATTTTGATGTTACCTTTGATTTAAAATCTGAGCATCAAGCAGAGGTTCTGAGGTTCTCGCTTGCGCTGGCAAATGGTTTCAGTGAGGCGTGTCTGAAACACCTTGTACTGTTGCTGCAGCAGCTCCCTGGGTTCGCCAGAGGAGCTGACCAGGTTCCAATCCCGTGGTTGAATAGAAACTCAAAAAACTGGTGATGGTCACTGTTGCACTCGGAAAATTTTTAAACAATAGTTGATGGACCTTGGTCATTGTGATACCTCTTCTTATCTAAAAATTCCTTCATTAGATGCTCTGATGAAGTTGTTCACAACAAACTGGGGAAAACTCTTCAAGAGATGGGAATACCAGAGCTCCTGACCTGCCTCCTGAGAAATCTGTATGCAGGTCAAAAGCAACAGTTAGAGCTGGACATGGAACAACAGACTGGTTCCAAATTGGGAAAGGAGTACGTCAAGGCTATATATTGTCACCCTGCTTATTTAACTTATATGCAGAGTACATCATGAGAAACGCTGGGCTGGAGGAAGCACAAGCTGGAATCAAGATTGCCGGGAGAAATATCAATAACCTCAGATATGCAGATGACACCACACTTATGGCAGAAAGTGAAGCAGAACTAAAGAGCCTCTTGATGAAAGTGAAAGAGGAGAGTGAAAACGTTGGCTTAAAATTCAACATTCAGAAAACTAAGATTATGGCATCTGGTCCCATCACTTCATGGCAAATAGGTGGGGAAACAATGGAAACAGTGACAGACTTACTATTTTGGGGCTCCAAAATCACTGCAGATGGTGATTGCAGCCATGAAATTAAAAGACGCTTACTCCTTGGAAGGAAAGTTATGACCAACCTAGACAGCATATTAAAAAGCAGAGACATTACTTTGCCAACAACGGTCTGTCTACTCAAGGCTATGGTTTTTCCAGTGGTCGTGTATGGATGTGAGAGTTGCACTATAAAGAAAGCTGAGCGCTGAAGAATGGATACTTTTGAACTGTGGTGTTGGAGAAGATTCTTGCGAGTCCCTTGGACTGCAAGGAGATCCAACCAGTCAATCCTAAAGGAAATCAGTCCTGAATATTCATTGGAATTACTGAAGCTGAAGCTCCAATACTTTGGCCACCTGATGGGAAGAACTGACTCATTTGAAAAGACCCTGATGCTGGGAAAGACTGAAGGCAGGAGGAGAATGGTTGGATTAGATGGTTGGACGGTATCACTGACTCAATGGACATGAGTTTGAGTAAACTCCAGGAATTGGTGATGGACAGGGAGGCCTGGCGTGCTGCAGTCCATGGGGTCACAAAGAGTCAGACACGACTGAGCGACTGAACTGAAGTATTCTTTATTCTCAGGAAAATTCTCTTCTACCCATCGCATGTAACTTTCCCATTCACCAAGTGGGTCATCGCCTTTGTAGCTCTGCATATTGGGTTCAGACATTTGAAAAACATTTTCTGGGTTATCCATGGTGAGAGGACCCAGGCTAGCAGCAGTTTCAACTGCTTAGCTTCATTTTTGAAATGTGTTTTAAAGGAATTAGCTGAAGTAGCTTAGTTTCAAAGTTTAAGTTTAAAATGTCCTTCAATTTCTCAGCATTAACAGATAAAAATGGCAAAAAAAAAAAAAAGGTAAAACACAATGGAAAAGCCCATAAGTATTGAGTCTATTTGGAATATCGGTATGAAAGCACAGCATGCTGTGGATTATCCCACAAGGGCTCCATTTCTTTATTGTTCTTCGGCTTTCCCATTATGACTCATTTTACATTCTTTTAATTTCACCGATAACAAAATAGAACTAAATAATACATACACGCATATAATATGTATTTTGGGAGGGATGATCACTATCATACTTTCAGAGGTTACAAAATGCAAACGGAGTTGGTTTGTGAAAATTCAAAGCTTTGTTCTGAATCATTAGTTACCAATTCTCCTGGGGAGCACCCAGTATCCCTCCAGCAGAGTTATGGACACTTATGAAGAGTCAACACAGGGACAGGAAGTCCACGTGATCCAAGGCTGAGACACAGAAGAGGGAGAGGGAAGTGTGTGTCCTAGTCCGCCTCTGCTGGGGAGGATGGGAAGTGGGGGCCCTGAAAACATGTTTTCTTTCCCCAAGGACTGAAACCTATGTGGCCTTAAAGATCGCTGACATCATGATGCCTAGATTCCAGAGGAAAAACAGATAATAAGCATAAATAAGACAATCTCAGAGCATGGTAAGTGACTCAAAGGGATTGAAAGACTGTGACTTGATGGGGACTGGGGGCTTCTCGTGAGTTGACAGACCCCTCTGTGCTGATGTAGTTTAGTTCAGACTTGAATTATGTGGAATGATTGGGGCTTCAAATCTTGATCAACTCTACCTTGGGACAAAGCGGCTCAGTTTTTCCCTCTTCTTGTTCTGGAATTCAGGAACTCAGCAGACTTTAAGCGCTGGTGTTCCCTGGGGCTCACAGCTGTGCTCCCAGCCCCCAGAACTGTACCAGGCAGACCCTAAGTGTTCAGCGACGACTCACTGAAAGAAGTAACGGAGTACCATGTGCACCTGAACTGTCTGTCATCTTTTTCCAAACTGCCCCTCCCCTCATGTTTCCAATCTCATGGTTCTCCAGCCAGAGACCTGGGTGTCATCTTCCACACCTCCTCCCTCCTCTCGCAGGCTGCACTCCCTCCCCCAGCCGAGCTAGTGCATCACTAGGTCCTCTTGGTCCTCCTGTGCTTTAGCATGTGGGGCTTGGTCCTCTGGGGTCCTCTATCCATCCTTAGTTGTTCCCACAGTTTCTTAATGGGACTCCCTGCTCCTGATGTGCCCCTCCCCTCCACTAAATATTCCAGACTTTAGCCAGACCCATCAACGGTGCCTGTAACTCTGATCAGACCTCTTACTCAAAATCCTTCAGTGGCCCCCATAGCTACCCCATTTTGTGGGATGGTCCCAGGCTGACAGGCTGCCCCAGCTCCAGCCCTCACCCCTTGCTTCCCAAAGCTCCAGCCCTCACCCCTTGCTTCCCAAAGCTCCAGCCCTCACCCCTTGCTTCCCAACCTTGGATGTGCTAAACCAACACAGCATCTACCAACAATGAGTGTTCAGTAAGTGCTTGGGAAAGACTCAGAGGGCAGGACTGGGAAATGAGTCAGCCGCCATCCACCCATACTTGGTTTTAAGGGTGGGCCTGTAGGAGGGAGACAACTGAAGCAGGTGTGTGAGCTCTTATTCTACAAAAATGCAAGTGGTGCCCCTTCTGGTGGTGAAACTCGACTCCCTCCCCTCACTGGATGAGAAGGCTCTTCAGGGTGTCAAACCAGGAGAACTAGAGAGCACAGATCTTCACCAGTAGGTGGGAACAAAGGTGTCCCAGGGCCAAATCACATGACATAGCAATAATTAAAAAAAAATACAAATAATTCCCCAGTAAAAGGGCGATATCAAGCCCTGCGTGTGGGGGAAGGGGGGGCAGGGGAGCGGTCACACCATGAGGGGCAGGTTGGGGCCAGACCCTAAGCTTCCAAGGGATGCGGGTACATGGAGGCTTCATGAAGGATCAGCTGGCAGGAGTTTCGATTTCCTTTCTCTCCAAGCAGTTCACCCTTGTCACCTTTACTCCTGCAATCCAGCGGCTTTCTTACCCTCCTCCCAGCTACAGACTAGCCTACCACCCCCTTCCCCCAAACGAGGGCCCAAGAACTGGATCCTGAACCAAAGCCTAGACAGAGCTGACAGACCCATCGGGGGGGCCTCTGGAGGCAGGAGGGGGCAAGTGCCCATGCGGAGTAGCGCCCTTCTGTGTTCAGAGAGGAGAATAAAAGCAATTAGGTTTGAACAGCCACTTTGCATTAGAGGAGATTGACTTGTCCTTCTGATGTGTTGTTTCCATAGAAGCAGGGCTTAACCTTTTAAGTGAAGATTATGAAGACACCTAATTCATTTAAAATTAGGCTTCAAGCATATCAGTACTTACTGCTCAAGTGTTACTGTGGGGCTTGCCATTGATCTGATTGCCAGGCAGAGCCTGTGACTTGAGACGCTCCAAGACGCTCTTTCTGGTGGCGACCTGGCCCGTGCGTTTATTTTTAAAAATTAACTTCATAAAGAGATGATAAAACTTTCACGTAAGATCACCAGAGTATTAATAAATACCTTTTAATTAACGGCTTGCATTGGCTCCTCTTCATAAACGCGGGAGGGCTGGTGCAGAGGCACGAGACAGGCACATTCAATTAAAGTAATTTATTGTTTTCTTCCAGAACAGACATAAAGGGTGTCTTGGGACTTGATATCACAACACATGTTATACACCATTTTCACAACTAGCCTTGCATGGAATTTTTTTTTTAAAGAACATAGTAATCTTAAAAAAATCTAAATATTTACATATTAATAAAACATATATACAGAAGATTGAGACATGATCCACAGGTATGGAATAATAATTTTTTTTTTTGCTAAGAAAGCCTATAAAAAGGATTTCTGAGTAGAGTCTGAACAGTAGTCACAGTTAAGTAAACACAAATACAGTTTTAATTTACAAAAATGATTTTGCTGTTGCAGTTTTACAACACGTATTTCCAATTTGTGAATCCATTGCACATATCTGTGAGCTGAACAATCCCCACCCCCCTCTCAAGTAGTGAAAAATTCAAGCTCTTGCCTAGTCTTGGCAGGAAGTGCTTTGAAGTTTCATAGTGTGTATTTAACAGATTCCACAGCTGTAAGGTAAATGTTTCTACCTTTATTCCCAAAGTATTCATCGTATTCATAGTATTATAACAGAGGTGAAAGGTCACTAATTAATCTTTTCAATTCCCTCGAGAAAGACTTCCTTTTGAGAGGCAGAAGACAAATTTTAAAAAATGCCTTGCAGAAAAACAAAAGCCTGGGTTCACAGTACTTTGTTAGACCCTGTGATGAACAGAGGGGTGGGTCTCAAGGAAGGGGCTACTAAGTGGCCTGAAATCGAAAAGGCTGACTAAACTTGTGATGGAAACCATTTCTCGAACCTTCCTGGAGGCTCCAAAAAGAAGACAAAAGACACACACGTATGAGATGTAGCTGTCTAGCAGCTGGATCGAGTCTATAAGCTACACCTAGACCAGCTTCGTCACTTCACAGGGACGCCTCCCATGGCCTTGGGTTAACTAGCTGGTCTTTAGTGGATTCCTGAATCCCCCCTGGAGCCCTCCTCCTGGCTCAAGGTCAACTGCCCTGTGTCACACGTATGGCCCAAGTACCTTGGATGGGGTAGGAAGGAACTGAGGTTCCTGGTTTGGCTAGCAGGTTGACGGGCTGTTGCCCAGCCCAGGATGGCCATAGACCTCACTCCTCAGCTGCCTCACCGCAAACAAAACGAGGGTGAACTATAGGCCTGAAGGCCTAAGCTGTAACTCTGAGCTCTAACACTCTCTGCTTCGATCAAATAAGTGTTAGGGACGTGTGTTAAATGACAGTATAGCATACCCCCTCCCCAAGGTTTGGTGTTTCTACTGTCCAAATTCCTTTCAAGCCAACTTTTGGCCTTTGGGTCAAGTGTCAAAGATTCATGGTAATTTGCTTTATACAGTAAATGAGGTATAAAAGTAATGTTTCTAAACAAACAGGTTATTTTAAATTCACCATCTCAACTAGAGAAAGGAATCTGGAGATAAATATCTCTGTAAAACAAATACCCACATGCCAAAATACTTCTTGGAAATGAACCCACATTTTCATTTGTTGGTTTTATGTCAAGTGGAGAGCACATGTGCTAGAGCTGAATGAAGTGTGAAGGGTAAGTACATTTGTGGCCAGTTGCCACACGATGCCACAACCCTGGACTACTCAGTTAGAGCCATCTGTTAAAATAGTTGTTGGGTATTATGTGGAAGGCTGCTTACTCTGAGTTTCTCACCTTTCAATTAGGTATTTTGTCACTGTATTGACATACAACCTACGTGAACGGTTTTTCTTTCCTGACAATTCATGTATCATTTGCACTTATCAAGGAAATGATTATTTTGGGGGGAAATAATGTCACAAATGATTTCATCTAATAGGTTAGAGTCACCCTGTCTCCCAAAACAACGTTTCCATCTTCGAGGCTGATGACAGTTCTAATTAATCTTGGCCTTTACCACTGCTCCTTCGGTCCTCCTGAAAGGGCCACTCTCCTTTATAAAATGCACTGAAGCAATTTATGTTAAAATGTGTGCTTCCAAACTCTACCATATTCACATTGAAAAAAAAAAAGAAAATAAAACTGTTCTTTTTTGATGGACAACGAACCAACTGAATGATACGTTGGACGTTGAAAGGCTGACAGTTCAACTCTAAAGATGATTTTTTAAAAATCTTAGACCAAATCGGAGGCTTGGTTATTGCATATGACAAAGAAAGAATATGAAAACTATTCAAACGTGACGGGTCAGCTCCATGGAACGCCCATGCCTTGCAGTGACCTGAAATGCTAGTGGATCTCCGAGGAGATTCAAGTGGAGGAGCTGTGTGTGCTAAGGAGCAGGGTCACTAAAAGAAAGTCTAGGCAGTGAAAGCTGTCCCTGTGTCTTCCGGTTTTTCTCTCCTGGTGTCAAGCATATGACCTACAACAGAGACAAGAGCGTGAAGGGGGTCCCTTCTCTAGGAGGACTTGTACGCTCTTCCTTGACATGGCCAGATGTAGGACCTCTTGGGGAGGCATCTGTGTTTTATCTCTAAATCACTGTTTCTTAACCAAGCCTTTAGGTGTGCCAGATGAGCAATTTTAGGCCATTAGAAATCTGCAATAATGATTTTTGCAGGAAAATCCATGAATGTGGGTTACTTCTAGAGGATGTTCACATGTATTATCCAGCAATAGATAACGGCTAAATAAAATATGATTTACCTGTAAAACAGAATATCATGCAGCTATTAAAAGAATGTGTATGGAGATTTGTAATAAACTGGAAAATTCTTGTTAGGTGGTCAACCAAAACAGAACAAAACCTTAGGGAACCAACTGGATGGATTTGACCTCCAGTGTATAAATTTTAAAAAAATTCAGAGAAAAGGCTGGGAAAAAAAACACCCAATAATAATGACTGTGTCTGGGTGGCAAAAGTAATTTACATTTTCTTCATTACACTTTTCTGTATTAATTTCTAAAAGTATGTAAATGGATGCCAAATGATGACCCCCAAATGCTAAGCCTAGGTGCACTCTGCACTAACCTATTTCAAATTCAGAAGTCTCCCAACTCAGTGCTGATTCCTGGCCTTGCTCAAAAATGCTTACTGAAAGGGTTGAGGGGAGAGAAATTAAGAAAATGTTTTCCACTATAAAATATGTATCCATTTTGTTAAAACTAGACAAACAGAAGGTTACTTAAGTGTGATGGATTGAGATTAATGTCATCTGACGCCTGACTGTAAAGTTGGCCTGGTTGGTTCTGGCTCATAGAAACACTGGGGAGTTATACCCCTGTCTCAGCCCTCCTCAACATACATGAATTTGGAAGGAGCAAAAAGGCCTTAACCGGATAATAAAAGCATAGTTAAATCTTTAAAAAAAGACCAACTATGGCTGGCTCAGAGAGACCAGATAACCAGATGAGGACTATCTGGCCAGTGAGTCTCAGATCCAGGGAGGAAGCTGCATGTATGGGACGGTCTCAGACGGTCTCATTAGCAGACTCGTAAGAAGAGAGCATGCAGTGGTGGCGCTGTGTTCAGAGAAGCCCCGGGCTATGAGTTTAGGTTAGAGGCTCTGGGGAGACTTGCTAGTCTAATCAAGATCATTTCATTCCATGACTGCAAGATTCGGGCACCAATCCGTGACTTCTTTTCCCTTTTTTGAGATGATTAAGTGGTATTATTTCTCATGCTCTCTAATGATTTGAATCAAATCTCTAGCAGGAGTCTAGTGAAAAGACCTGCCAGGGGTGTCTTACAACTGCCCTCACTGGGACCTCACAGCCTCGGGATCTGAGGACAAACCCGAGAGCTGAACTGCAGCAGACTTTAGGCCGGCTTACAACGGGGCAACACTGAAATGGAATCCTACAGGGATTAGTACATCCATCAACTCTTAGGACGGCTAGGAAACATGCAGAGAAGGTTTAAGAAAGCTACGCAGTGGACCGGCTGGGAGTTGAGAGGCCTGGGCTTCGGCCAGGCCACCAACCAGCTGTGAGACCTTGAAAAGTCATTTAGTGTTTCTGGGCCTCAGGCTTTTTTACCTGTAAAATAAAAGGACTGGATAAAAACGAGGGACGGGACTAGATGACCTCTAACGTTCCATTTTTTCTCAGAGTCCTTGAAAGTGTTTTCAGTTCCATGAGGCGGTTCTACCATCCCGGGTTCAATTTTCTCATCTGAAACATCTCTCTGCCTCCATCTTCAGATGGAAAAATGCAAAGGTATTATTTCAAGGGGAGTGGTTTTCAAATAATATACTTCTTAAAAGCCCACTGTGGCAGATGGTAGCCAGGATGGGCAGTACAAATGCCCTGGGGACAATGGGGCTGGTTGGGGAGGAACCCTGGAAAGTATTGGGTTGGCCAAAGAGTCATTGGGGTTTTCCATAAGACACTGGAAACAAAAGTTTCCAATGAACTTTTTGGCCAACAGATACAAGTAGAACAGCCAGGGGTTCCTCCAGAGGGCCTCCCCAAAGGGGACAATCTCAGCATTAGTAGCAGTGCTTCATGCCTCTGCTGGGAGGGGGTGGTCAGAACAAGGATAATGGGAATTTTCCTGATACTCAGAGAAGGACAGGAACAATAGAGATCATGCATTTCAGTTATCTTCCCGCATAAATATGGACACATAGCCAAACTAGAAGAGAAACCACTTTTCTGGCATTTCTGCAATGACTATATCCAGTGAGACCTCGATAGAAGCAGGTTGCTGCTGGCCTCCGCAGTTTATTTCATTTACCTATCCATCTATCTGTTGCTTAGTTACTCGGTGACAAAGAAAGCACCGTCTCCCTTGTGCGGCTGTGACTACTCTGAAGTTCACTAACGTGTGTCTGTACACCCTGAAGTCAGGCTGATTGCTGCCTGTGTACAAGTGGCCTTGCAGAGTTCCTACACACGCCTTTCACAGTTGCTGGCGCTACCAGGCCAAAGGGAGAGAGAACACTGAGCTGAGCTTGTTCACCGACAGGGCTCTTGAAGGGGAGGTGCAGGGCGATGTCTGGGTTTGGTTGTTAGAGGGATTTCGAGGGCCGTCAATACAGAATCTTGAGACCAAGTGAGGGATAAACTCTGTCACATGGCTCACTGATCAGACATCTGTCCCTCGGGCTCTCGGGTGAGAACTGAGGCACAGGTAGAGTCCAAGGTTGGAAGGATTACTGGAGAGTTAAATAATAAGTTTGAATGAAGTCGGCAGCTTATCCCTGCCGCAGATGCATCAGTGAGATGTTATATTCAGCTGATCTGGTTACAGTGTTAGTCGCCTGAAGAGATGGATCAGCTTATTCACTCACTCAAAGCACAATCGAAGGGTGCCCATTATAGGGAGAGTGGTGATACTGCCCCTCAAAGCCTTTTGGGGGAAGGAGGGAGAGGCCAGAACAGACAGGAGTCCCATCATAGAACAGATGATCCCTAATCTAAACAGAAATATCATTTTATGTTAAAATAGATATCTTTTTAATGTCCCAAGGTTTGGGGAGGCAAAATGTGACACTAAGTTCTTAGGACTTGCTGTTCTGAGGTTTTCAAGAAGATGAAACAGAATGTGAGAAAACTGTAGCTTTTCATATTCAATTTGCAAAATCTCCCTGAATGCAGGGCACTGAGCTCCTCTGAGGACTAGGGGCTGGGTCTCTTAAGGGAAGTAGTTTGCTCAAGCATCGGCATCTCTGATGTTAAAAACATTTTCAATGCAAATATTCTCATATGCCATATTTTCCAAAGGGTGATGAAAATGGAAATGTATTTTACCTGTTGGGGTTAGAGAAACACCGTCCAGCCGTTCATCACTGTCAGCTGCCTCTGCTGGTTACAAACATAAAATATGAATCTCATTAGTTTCAAGGCATTCATTCATTCTGCCTAATATGGTAATACAATTTAAAAACTCCAACGTACGTAATAGTTTTCACCTTTCTTTTCCCTTCTCAGTTTAGGCTGGATCACATTAGAGATTTTAGGAGCATGACTTAAATAAAATTTTTTTAAATGATATAAAATCTATTTTCGTGTATTAAACTTTTTTATATCTTATGATCCTTATTCTATCACTCATTGATGATTTCAGTTCATTTTCGCTTATTTACACAGGCTTCAGTATTTACCCAGAATTTGAGGTGAATTGTTTAAATCTGATTGTTGAAAGCATGGAGGTCAGTGAATTCCTATGGCAGAATTTTACTGGTCATTCCCAGAAATATTCCAGTGGGGCAGGCTTATGACAGCTTGGGAACGAAACCTTTTTTGATGGCTGGAAACTCAATCTAAAATCAATATAAAGTCATGGATAAAATCAGAAAGAATAATAAGCATTTCTTCAAAAGATTTGTCACTTCTCTGATTTAAAATGCAAAATGCTGCTCATTTCATATATTTCAATTGCCCTTAAGAGTTTTCCAAAAGTAGATCCTTTTGTCACAGAGAACCTTCCATCAAGTACAAAAAAAGAAGGTGCCTGTTTGTTTCCTGGTAAGTGATGGGCTTGTCAGTTTCCTGGACGTGCTGTGGATAGGCCAGAACATTCCACAGCTACTGGGATCACTCTGGTCTGCTCCCTCTGTCCCAAGGCTGCAGCCCTGTTGGAATTTCCCGCACGTGTGCCCGAGAGGGCAGTTGGGTGAGGGCTGCTGCGTGCAACATGCTGTAATGCTGAGTTGGTGGGATGCAAACTAGTGCTTTGTTCTTGTTCTGCTTGCTGTGGTTTTGTTTTTTGGGCTGCTTGACATCTTACTGCCCCCACCAGGGATGGAACCCATGCCCCTGCAGAGGAAGTGCGGAGTTTTAACCACTGGACTGCCAGGGAAGTTCTTGATCATTGTGAGTTTAGACACAATCAGGGTTCAGAGGTGGATGGAGACATTCAGAGATTTCCCCTTGTTCACCTCTCTACCATCCTGTCTGCAGATTGCCACACGCTGGCCCGTAAAAGACCCATCACCCCTTACCTGCTAAACCCACCACAAAGAAAAATAGAGACAGAGTAGTCAAGACCAGTTTTGGTTGGAGAAGATGATGATGTAGGTGAATGCTTAATAATATAAAACAAATCCAGATGGGACAAATGGTAAGATTAGAATTCTGTCAATATATTTATGGGCAAAATACAGCTCACACTAAAATGTTAAGTGTTTCTCTCTGCATGAAAAGTTTATGAATATTTAAAATTTTGTTCAAGTTTAGCAAATTTTAAAATTTTCTTTCATATTTAAAAAAATAACAAGCATGTTATTTTCATATTTAGAAGACATTATTCTCTTTAAAAATTTTTATTTATTTATTTTGCTGTGCTGGGTTTTAGTTTCAGCATGTGGGATCTAGTCCCCTTACCAGGCATTGAACTCAGGTCCCTTGCATTGGGAGTTTGGAGTCTTAGCCACTGGACCACTAGGGACATCCTGACATTATTCTCTTCTGATTGGTTTCAGTGAACTTGAATAGGAAGATGACCTTTCATTTTCTGGGATTTAAAAATTTCTTCAGTAATAATAATAATAGCTATGATATGCATCACCATTTACTAAATGCTTACCACCTACTGAGGACTTACTATATGCACCATGTCATCTAATCCTTAGCAATCCCTACAAGGTAGGTCTAGCTTATGCCCATTTTAACAAACGAGGCAATGGATTCAGACATTAAGAAATTTACCTAAGGTAATAATACAGCTAGTAAGTGACTCTGCCAAGGATTTGACTCAGGTTAACGCCTTGACTTAATCTCTTTGCTATTAATAGTCCAAACATATATAACATGCATCGCTATAAGCTACATTGTTAAAACTTCAAGTTTTTTAAATTAATTTTTTAAATTGCAGTATAGCTGATTTTACAATGTTGTGCCCATCTCTGCGATACAGCAAAGGAACTCAGTTATATACATATAGACATTCTTCTTTTATATTCTTTTCCATTATGGTTTATCCCAGGATACTGACTAAAACTTCCTGCGCTGTGCAGTAGAGCCTTGTTGTTTACCTATGTATAATAGTTTGCATCTGCTAATCCCACACCTTCCCTCCCTCGCCTCACTTCCCCTTGGCAACTACAGGTCTGCTCTCCAGGTGCATGAGTCTATAAAACTTAAAGTTTTAGTTCATTTTACACTTTAATAACTTCCTCTGCTTTCTATGAAAAACTGCTTTTTACTGAGTGGTGACAAAAATCAGTTCCAGGGATGAAGTTGATCACTTTGTAATTCAGCTATCCTCACTTTTTAAAAACAGGCCTGTGCAAATATGTGCTCTGTAAGAACCAAACATACACAACCCCCGAATCTGTAAAGGATTATGTATAAATTAGCAGCTGCCCGCTGCATGAACAGGGCCAAGTGTCTCGGATGAAGAACACGACTGTTACTTAAATTTAATTATAACATCTGTCTGTAACAACAAGCTCACAGTCTTTCTTCTCTTGTGACAGGCAAGTTGTGAAATTTGAGGAAGATTGAGCAAGTCCAATAAAAATGTAATAGCAGCAACAGCTTTACTCTTAGATCCAACACAAATAATAAAAATTGCGATTTCCGCGCCGAGGAAATAATCTAATGAAAATGATAAAAAAAAAAATCCACACCAGGAAAGGAATCATTCCAGTTATCGAAGAAAAATTACTACATGTGATGAAAGCCCTGAATGAGTTTCTATTTGAATTTGAAGAACAACTTTTCAAATCTGTTGGGGGCACTCCTTTTTTCATGGAGGCTGTGAGGTCTGGCTTTAGCGGTGAGTTGATTGTTTGCCCAGGTAGAGTGTGTACCTAATTCCAGGAACTGGGCCAAATATGATAAATCAGGTTGAAGCTGTGGAATACCTTTGAGACACTGTATTGTCACTAAGACCGAGAAGGAGACACAAAAAGAGCAAGCAATAGCATTGACCCCCGGCCCCTTAGTTCCCATCACGTGGCGACAGCAACACATGTGGCTCCAGTTCCCGTTTGCTAGGGTCCCACTTCTGTGCGGCTCAGAGAGAATGAAGTGGGTGAACCCACTTGATTTTCTCCGAGCGGCACGAAGTGACAAAACTGGGAGGCAGAGCCTACTTGGCAGGTCACTGCAGAAGCGCTGCCATTTTGCCCTCCTGTGGTCTCTGTGTGGTCTCTATGTCACCTTCCGCTTCTCAGATGCTGATAGAACCTGCTAGAAGGGTAGGAGAGAACTGCCAAGGTGCCAGTCACAGCCCTCTAGGCAAAGACTCTAAAGCCAGGGTCAGAAGTGAAAACATCCTACATCAGATAAGAGCACGACCCCAGAGCAGGGCAGGCGGTCATCTGGGCAGGTGACATGGGGGAGGGGGGTGCAAACTGCACCCCATTCTGTATCAACAGCACGGGGAATTACTGATCCAAACCCTGAGATGGTTAAGGAGTGTGTTCCCTGGCCAGTCTATCTGGGGGAAGTGGAGGAAGGTCCCCACTGTGTGTGTGTGTGTGTGTGTGTGTGTGTGTGTGTGTGTGTGTGTGTGTGTGTGACAGGAAAGGGAATGGAGGCCAGAGCTCGGAGTAATTGGTCTCAGCATCTGACAACAGAAAAAAAACAACAAAAAAAGAGGTGTGTTTATGTATAAAATATACACAGGAGAGGGGAACAACATCAAAACGGAGCTTGTTCTTCTAGTCCAGCGTCTCTGAGAACAGTGCTCTCCAGTGTATTCAGCACAGGCCCAGCGCGCGACGCCTGATGCATATCTTCTGCCTTCAAAAGTGACTCTTCAGACTAGAACTTATCAGTCCTTTGGGGATGGTGAGTCGCTCACCTCCGCTGGAGGTGCAGGCTCTGGGACCCCAGCCCTCTTCCTCCGGGTGGTCTCTGCAGCTCCTTAGTCAGCAGCGTCAGGATGAGAGTTTATCCCATCCTTTCCCTGCGAGCTTCCGAGGAGCTCCAAGCACACCCTATATCCTCCCGTGTGCGCCCATCACCCCGTGTGACACAGGTTGCGGTTTAGGTGGAAGAAGCCTGTACAGATTTGCTGGAAGCTGATGGCATGACCGGGACCAGCGTGCAGGGGCCACAGGGCAGCAGGTGGCTGGGTGGGGCAGCTGTGGCTCTTTCCGTCTCCTTGGGACTAACCTCGTATTACATTTCAGTCTCTCCACAGTGATAAATCTCAGTTCTCTCTGACAACAGACTTAGTGTCTTTTGTTCTGGGGGTTCAAGAATTTGCTCTGAAAAGCCAACAGGTAGATACAAGTGCTCACATACTCAAAACAGTCAGGATGGGTTAATGCAGACTTCAGGCTAACAGGGACAGTGTTCAGGCTTCTTCTTGGAATTTGATTAGGGATCATCTGAGACATGCACCCAACATGACACCAGTGCTCACTTAACAAGGGGTGACTCAGGGTGCTGTCCTTCCTAACACCTGTCAGTCAGCTGCAAAGAGCTCTTTCCTTGGAGCCTGAGATCTAAGGGGTCAAGAGTCACAGGCGGCCTTTGTAAGGCGTCTCCAGGTGGAGATAGGGGGCCTTCAGTCTGAGAAGAGATGAGACCCACCGGCAGAAGGTTGATCTTCCCAGGTGTCATTCAGTTAATCCACTCAGCGTGAGGTCCAGGCATTGTGACTCACGACTCTAAAGCTTTGGGGGAGGCTGGGAGAAGCGGCAGTCGGGAGGGAAGAGAGAGGAGTAAGGAGAGGGGGCAGAGAAGTGAGAGAAAGGACCTGAAGAGGGAGGACAGGCGTCTGGAGAGCGGCTGCAGGGGCGCCCTGGACACGGCCACCCCCAGGCTCTGGGGGGATGGGGAAGCACTTGACCCTCAAGTAAGGAACTGATGGTTATTCTCCGGGATTTCGCGTGACTGTGATGAGCTAAGACCTGTTTGCTGTGGACTGCTCTCCCTTTGTTGGTTCATTCAACAAATAGTCCCACATGTCCACGCTGTGCCACACGCCATTCTAAACATTTAGGGACACACAGCCTCTGCTCCCAAGGGTCTCGTGGAGGAGACAGGTGTGTCCCTGTCACTATTCCGGCGGCAGAAGATCAGTGTCTGGGCTGCCTGGGAGGCCTCTGGGAAGAAGTAACCTTTGAGATGCTGCACGTTTCCCAGGCAGAGAGAAAGTGGGTGTGGGGGTGCCAGCCGATTTCAGACGGGGGGGGGCTGATGTGGCTTCAGGGGGCAGAAGCTGATGGCAGGCGATGAGGCTGGCGCTAGACGGTGAATAACCATGGATGCTGTGCTGAGAGGGGTGTTTAGCAGGGATTTTATTTGGAGGCTGACAGGAAGTCAGATGTATTTAATCCGGGGCGGGGCATGAACAGACCCCATTAGCAGAGGCACAGGGAACGAAGACTCGGGTCTCAGGACATGGCCAAGCTCGGAGCCGCGCGCTGGGGACGATGGGTCAGTGCACGTCACCAGGGAGGATGCAGGACAGAGGAGACGGGCAGAAGTGAAAGAGGCAGGGAAGGAGACCCCAGACACTGAGGGGGAATCTGGAAGAGAAACAGAATGAAATCACAGAACCTGGGGGAAGAGTGTGTCAAGAAGGAGATTCGACAGGGTAAAAATCAGTATGGAGGTCAAGTTCAACTGTTAAACAAGTGAAATCTGATGATCCAACGTGAACGTGGCAGAGGAGTGAAGTCAGAGGGCAAAATGCAATGGATTCTAAGCTGCTATATAGCATGGGGAGCTCAGCCAGTGATCTGTGATGACCTAGAGGGGTCGGATGGGAGGGAGGAGATTACGTATATATGTACATGTAACCAATTCACGACGTTGTCCGCAGAAACTAACACAACATTGTAAAGCAATTATCCTCCAGTAAGAAATAAATAAAGTGAACTGGGATGGGGAGGCGAACTCAGGAAACAGAGGCCCTTTGGGAAGAAATCTGACCAATGATGCCAGGAGAAAGACAGAGAAGTGCTTTTAAGATGTGCGAGGAAAAAGGAGTCACTTTGTTTTGAGTTGGCAAAGGGAAGGAGAACAAGGTCGTGGGCATTTTTTTGAGCATTATTATATTTCTGCTCTCCATCAGTGGCAATACTTTATCTAATTTTAACTCTGAAAACACTGCGTGGAAGGTACCAGCCTCATTATATAAATGGAGAACCTGAGGCTCAGAGAGGTTGAGACGTTGGTCCAGGGTGCCAGGAGATTGTAAATGGCAGACCAGAGCTAGGAGGGCAGCGTGTCCTCTGCACTGCACTGTGCTGTGTTTATTGCCGGTGATTTGGGGATGCAGGAGGCAGAGAAGAAGAGGGTGAGGGCATGACTTACTGTCTAAGCCTGAAAACCTTTGAGAGCGAAAGGCGCGTCACTGATAATCACGCCTGGACCATAGGAGCAAAGCAGCTGCCCTGGCATAGCAGGCCAGTGGGTCTCCTGGCTGAGGACGCAACTGTGGCTGCCCCAGCGACCCCCACACTGCCAAGCACGGCTGTGCCCAAAGACAGACCTCTTCTGAGAGGCACGCTAACTTGGCTGATAGACATTCCTATAAGCACACGTCAGGAGCCTCAGGACAGCGCTGAGACTGGCTGTACTTCTTGTCCCCTCAGTGATGGAGACCCAAGGAGGAGAAGGACCTAGTGACTTGTCTGAGGGCCAGAGCTGGCGAAGAGCAGACATGAGTCCTGGGAACTGGATCTACTGACTTCTCTATGACTTGTTACATAAAGCGATAATCCATTTGTTTACCAGTTAAATTAGTAGTCCACTGCTCTTTATAAAAAGAGAATCAGTTAAGTGTAAAAAGAAGCCAGAAGGGTAAAGAAGGAGGAAGGGAAGATTTTTTAACAGAAAACTCATCTAGGGGTTGAGTCCTGCTGGCTACTTCTATAGACCTGTAAGGGTTTTTTTTTTTTTTAATTATTATTTATTTTTGGCTGTGTTGGGTCTTTGTTGCTGATGATGGGCTTTCTTTAGTTGTGGACAGCAGGCGCTATTCTTTGTTTCAGTGCGAGGGCGTCTCATTGTGGTTTCTTATGGCAGAGTACAGGCTCTAGGTGTAAAGATTTTAGTAGTTGTGGTGCACAGGCTTAGTTGCTCTGTGGCATGTGGAATCTTCCCGGACCAGGGATTGAACTCGTGTCCCCTGAATTGGCAGGTGGATTCTTACTCACTGTGCTACCAGGGAAGTCCGACTATAAGCTTTTTCACACTGAAAAACCATGTGGTCCCTCCGTGCTCTGTGTCTTGTCAAAGGCACTCTGAGCCTGAGCCCAGAGCTCTCCTTCCAAGGGCTGGTAACTGGGCTCCTCAGGACGCTTGGTCACAGTTACTTCTACTCATGGTGAGAATTCCAAGAGGCTGTGTTACAGATAGTCTCCTGAGTTTGTACTACTGTTCTCGTGGACCTCCAGACCTCTGTTAAATCCCAAAGTGTGACATTCTAGCATCCAAAATCTGTCTCCCCAGATGGATGGAAAAAGAAGATGTGGTACATATATGCCATGGAATATTACTCGACCATAAAAAATGAAATAATGCCATTTGCAGCAACATAGATGCAACTAGAGATTATCATACTAAGTGAAGTAAGTCAGAGGGAGAAATGCCACATGATATCACTCATATGTGGAACCTAAAATACAGCACAAATGGGCCCACCCATGAGAGAGAAAGACTCAGAGAACAAGCTTCTGGTTGCCAGAGCGAAAGGGGGAGGGGGAGGGATGGACTGGGAGTTTGGGGTTGGTAGATGCAAATTATTATATCTAGAATGGATAGACAACAAGGGCCCACTGTACAGCACAGGGAACTATATTCAATATCCTGTGGTAAACGATAATGGAAAAGAACATAAGAAAAGAATGTCTGTATGTGTTAGAGCTGAGTCACTCTGTACTGCAGAGATGGGCACAACATTGCAAATCAGCTATATTTCAATAAAAATAAATAAAATCTGTCCACCAAACTCTCACATCACAGCCACAGAGGCACAGTAGGCTCTTAGAAGGCCAGGGGTCCTGAGATTTGATTAGGAATTATGCTTTGTTTTGTTTTTAAAATAATAACTACATAATGGCAGAAAACTGACTCCAAAGGGATTCTTCACTGGTAAACTGTCCCACTGCTACCTTGGGGAGACTGAGAATTCAGATGCCCAAATCTAAACGGGCAAATGCAACCAGTGTTCACTTTTCCTAGAAGAATTATCCCAGAATTGCCAAGTCCAGATTGAAAATTTAAAAAAAGGTAAGTGAATAGTTTACTTAAAAAGCTCTTTCTACTTCACATGGTATTTCACATGGATGTTTATTGTTATTTCATTTTTTTTAACCTAAAGCAACTAGTACTTTTTATAAAGTCATGCAGATCCAAACAAATAAAAACCAATAGGTAACAGAAGCAGATCACAAAAGACCTTGTTTCAAACACAAGACTACCAATGAGATTAGCAATCTTTTTCATTTGTGCTATTTAAAGTAAATGACCTGATGTAACTGTCACTATTTAATCTTAGAGTGAATTTAAAATCATTTGAATAAGATTTTAAAACACAAAACCAAGGCACATTATATAAAGCTTCTCCTTCAAAAGACAATGAAGTATCCGAGAGTAAATAACTGTATTTTGCATCTAAGAATTCAGTTGAGGGCTTCTGCAATTATTTTCTTGCAACTTATTCATACCTGAGCCTCTTTTTAACCTTCTTCTTGCCAGTTTGATTTGATCCTGCAGAATCTGAACCCAGTCTCTTGGGCCAGGAAGTTTATCCACGTGATTAGCAGTGCAATATTTTTCTGTGAAGACTGAAAGAAAATATGAAATATTGTTAAACATTTGAAAAAAAGAAAATGCAGATTTGAAATAAGATCATACCCCCAAGAAGGGGCGGGGGGAAGTATATTTCTAAAAGATGTCAGTTCTGCAGTGGTTATTCTCCAAATCCATATGACATTCTTTTGGTGAAGATGGAGCTTGGCAGGGCCCATCCTGCACACCATATCCTGTGCTTCCAAATGAAACTGGCTATAAATGCTAGTAGTTCTACTGAAACTGCTTTTTCTGATTGCTCCACGTCCAAGTGTATTGTCTTATGGGCAGAGAAAATGCTTCCTAGGGGGTCCATTGGCCCCATGACAGAATTCTGCAAGTGTATTAATGTATTTCACTTTTCTGTTGTTAACTCAAAATCAAATGGAGGGGACTTCCCTATGGTTCAGTGGTTAAGACTTCCAATGCAGGAAGTACAGGTTCGATCCCTGGTCAGGGAGCTAAGACCCCACACGCCTCCAGACCAAAAAACCAAAACACAAAACAGAAGCAATATTGTAAGAGATTCAATATAGACTTTAGAAACGGTCCACATCAAAAAAGAAATCAAATGGAAAATTACACAGAGAGATGATGTTCTCATGGTGATTCCTGCTAACTGGACCAGCGCTCAGTGGATCAATGCAGTTGGGTCTTAGTGAAAGCTCCAATCCTACTTTGAGTCAACTTGTTGCATCCTGAACTAGCAGCAAATAGAGAAGAGCTCCCTGGAAGCACAAAGGAAGCTCTGGGAGTTGTGTGCCAGGACACAACAGAGCAGGACAATTATCTGAGCAAAGGCGCACAGCATGCAACGGTGCACAGGGCGCTGGGGCTGGCACTTCCGCTTCATGCTGCGTTCCTGAGCACTTTTCAACCTGCTCCCCTTGAGGTCAAGGTCTGCCACGTGGCCATGTCACATTGCCTCTTTGGTGTTTAAAACAATGATCATTTTAATGTTTTAAAGGTTTCTTTTAAAAAGAAAGGACAGAGGAAAATGTTGTCAGATTCAACTAACTGTGAACAATTTCTATTGAATAAAAAATAAAATTTTCATTTGAATGAGCAGAGCTAGTGGCACTAGCTTCCACCACCACAGGAAGAGCTCATCCCAAATAAAAGCGTAACTTCAAGCCTCCATGGATAAATGGACAAAGTAGACTTAAGCAAAAAACAATACGGAAAACATTCAAGTAATGTGTAAGCCCCTAAGTTGCAAAACACACTTTATACCTACTAAATTAGCTAAGCGATTAAGATAATACTAATATTGATAAAATTGTGTGGACCTGGTACATGCAAGTTTGACTGTTGGCTTAAACTGGCAAGACCGTTTTGGGAAATAAGATGGCTGTATATGACAAGGGACATAAAACTGTTATTCCTCTGGATTGGTAATCCTACGTCTATAAATTTATCCTAAGTAAACAGTAATGTAAAAGAAGGGGAAAAAGTCATAAACAGTGTGGAATCTGTGGGGGATGGGTCTCAGGACCCACCCGGCTGCCAAAATCCATGGATGCTTAAGTCCCATATGTACAACGTGTATTATATGCATACCACCCATGCACACCTTCCCATATACTTTAAATCATCTCAGGGATGATTTAGAATACTTAACACAATGCAAATACTATGTAAATAGATGCTTGCACTTGGCAAGTTTGTTTTGTTTGGAACTTTCTGGAATTTTCCCCCAAATATTTCTATTGGCAGCTGGTTGAACCTGCAGGTGCAAAGTCCGTGGATGCAGGGGTGGGGTAGGGTGGGGGGGGGGGTGTACACACATCAACAATCCAGCTGTGCAGGAGGAGATGCAGGGCGGCCGGGGGCGGGTAGCTATGTATGTGGGGGAGCACGGATGCCTTTGAGGAATGTGCATAGTCATAGAGTTGGGGTGGCGCTAGTGAAGACAGAAGGGATGACAGAACAGATGGGGAACTGGCATTTCTGGAGACTCACATGACTTGTAAATCCAGGAGGAGGGATTGTGAGGGGATGGGCCAGATGCATCAGGCACGGTTTGAGACATGCTGAGTTTGGGGCATCTGTGGAGCCCCCATGGGGGACGGCTGGCAGTTGTTTCAACACAGATGCCTGTAGTTCAGGGAAGGGGTCTCTGCCCAAGATGTAGACTTCAAGGGCACAAACGTGTGTGGTTGTTAAAACGACAAGAGAAAACACAGTGGGCAGGGAGAAGGTTTCAACAGAGGGCTGGGCAAGCACAGAACAGCAGGAACCCCTGGGGTCTGAGGGAGGCTAAGGCATAGAGCCCAGGGAGCAGCTGGTGCAGCATGGTCTGGTGCAGGTGGGAGTGTGTGAATACACTACAGGGGAGAGACCCACAGTCCCCGGTGCAGAAGAGCCAGGAAAGAGGTGTGGAGAGGGTCCCTGGCAGCGGGCAAGGACGTGGGGAGGGTGACCAGAGATAGCACTCTCCAAACACCACGTTTGTGGGAGCGGGGAAGAAGAGGAGAAGGAAGGCTGGGGTGGGGGAAGGCAGGCAGCACTGTCGGAGGGGGTAGGATCCAGAGAGAAGGAGGGAACAATCAGAGGAACCATATACCAGAGAAACTGGGGGCTGGGATCCTGGAGAGAGAGGGGTGACCCTCGACCAGAATCAGGAGGAGAACTTCCTCCTCTGAACCCAGAGAAGGGGAAGACAGGGGTGGATTCAGAAGTGGTCAGAGGTGGTCATCACCGCCCCTGAGGCCTCACTGGACCTGGCAGTGAGGGGTGGGGAGAGTGCGGGAACATCTGGAATTGTAAGGCAGTGAGGATGCAGGGTGCTGAGCAGGAGGGCCGCGTGCTTGTGGTGGCAACCGCAGGGCAGGCGTTTTCTCCAGGGCACTTGGCAGCTCCTCGTCCGGAGAGGAGATGGCGATGGGAAGGATGGTCTAGGGTTACGAATTTGCTGGCTGGTTTTGGCAAAGGTACAGGATATAAAGGACAGCATTGAAGATGTTGGTGAAGATGCCTGCTCCCCTCCCCCGGAATGAATTACTGCTTCCTTCATCCATTTTCCTTACCACCCAAATCTAGGAAGCAAGTGAAGCCAGAAAATAGTTCAGACTTGGGACGATCTAAGAGACCAGGGAATGGAAATCTCAGTGGGGTTGGCAAGGAAGTGCCAGGGAGAAAGGGTAGCAGGACATGCGGTAAGCGGTGTAGGGCTGAAACGGAGGTTGAGAGCCAGTGTGGACAAGGTCTGGACACTCTAGCTCTAGGCGGTCATGTGAATGGTGAGGTTTTCCCAGATGCCAGCAGGACCTGGGGGAGAGAGGATGATGCGGAGTGGTGCTGATGTAAAGTCTGTATCCCAACTCCCAAATGAGAGAAAGAGGAGGCAGAATTAAGGTCCAGGGAAAACATCAACAGACTGCCCACCACAGGATGCATGGGCCATGCAAGTAGGCAGGCTCCACCCGGGAGAGAGGCAGAGGGGACAATATCCTAGGGGTGGGGCTGCCTGCGAGTCTCCTCTACCAGACTGTAGACAACTTCAGGGGCCTACGTCTTATCTCCCTAAAAGCACCTACTGCAGCGCCCCCAACTAAGAGCCCCATAAACGTCTGAAGGATAAACAAACATACTTTCTGCTTTTGTTTCTGAAGGAAGTAAATACAACAGCTCGGACATTTAGGCCAATTGGAGGAGCAAGGCCTATTTGAATTAGCAGAAAGTCTTAATGGCACATATTTAAAGTAACCAGGTTTTATTATAGTCAAATACCCACAATGACATTTCTTATTGTGACACTTCTTAATCAGAGCTGCAGAAAGGTTCTTGAAATCCTGTTTGAACGACTAGAAAAAAGTACCTGTATTTGGCACCCTAGTAGTTTATAAGAAAACTGTACCACAAAATGATTGAGTGTACCATCTTACAGGTAAACATCTCCCTCCTTCCTTGTAATGTTATTTATGTAATTAATTTCCATGGCAACCCCTCTCTTCCTAGACTGGGAAATGCATGCATCCAAATTAGCCCAGATTAGGAAGTAAAGATTTGAAATAAACCAAATAGATTTGGATTATGCCAACATCAAAGTGATTCCCGGCAGACGAATGTGTCAACGAGCAAGTTCAGGAGTAGAGGGAAGGCCCCCTACTGTGTGGGTGGCATCCAAGGGGATCTTTCTAATCTCATCCTGAGCTCAAGTATTCTGCTGCGTGTTCAAAAGGCAACAATTGCTGGCTATTTTTTTCTCCTTTCAGCAAAAGCTTATCTGCTTTCAATCACGAGAGACCAGGGAACTCTCTGCCTCCTGGGTCTGCATCTGAGAACTTTGAAGGCAAACCATTAGGCTTTCGGGGAAAAAATACATCTACAAACAATTATTTCCACTGAGCATATTACTGACGTTCTCATTTCTGGCTTACACCCAAACTTAAAAGAAACTTTTAACTAGAATCTACGTACAGAGGACGAAATCCTATTCCTTGTGACATGGGTAGATGAGGCCTCAGAAAGGGGCCAAAGGTTTGTGGGTGGATTGATCTGAAAACATTCCATATGCTATGTGGATAGGTATTGGGTAAGCAGAACATATTTTTGCTATCTGAATCTATAGCTAAAGGTCAAGCTATTACCCTGCTAACAGTTTCATTAGGAGTAATGATGTGAAAAGAGGTATTGCAGTAATGCGTTGGGCTTCCTACTATGCTAATAGTGGGTCATTAAGAATCAGAGGAGAACAATTTGCATTTATCCTCAGAATGCGATAGGTCCTGAAAAGAAATTTCCCTTCTCTCCTAGTTTAATATATTAAGGGGAAGCGAGGGATGATTTTACACAAGTCCAAATTATCTGAACAAGTGGATTAAGGCCAACCATTAAACTGAATACAACTGTGGAAGCATCTACTCTGCTTAACATCATCTGAGGTCCCAAGGCACAAAGATGCATGAAGTCGCCAGGGAAATGACAAAGGTTCAATTTGATCTGTACGCAAATAAGGACTTTTCTCAGATGCCTGCATTCATTCAAACCCTGC